ACGCACTGGATAGCTGGCCAATCACAGCACACCTTGCTTTTCAGACTGATGAGCTTTGTAAAAATCGACGCGTTTCAGAAAGGCGGGGCATAGAGGAGAAACAATAATGTACAGTATGTGGAAAATAATGTGTTTTTTGAACCTTAAACCACATAAACGCATTTCATTACACCAAATACACAAAATAATGTTCTTTTTAGCAACATCATATGACCCCTTTAAACCCAGAAGGCAAATACAAATAGATGATATTACGACACGGCTTTCTGGAATGATTCTGATTGGTCAATCATGGCATTCAGCTGTCAAAATAAATGCATTATTGCCCGCCCACTTTTTCAGCTCTGGAAGGGTTTTTCCACTCATTTTACCCATAGGGATTAAAAAAAGGTCTTGGTTAAAGCGTTATGAGCCATTAACCAAACCAACCGGCTCAGAGGTGAATCACAACCTTACAAACTTTGATTTGAAGTAAAAAAAAAAAATAAGTACCTGAAAATCAGACAAAAAGACTCGATGAGGAAAATAACTACAAATTCCATGAACGCTTAATAAAATTAACCTTGGTTTTGCTACACTAACCATAGTTTAACCATGGTATTAGTAGTAAAACTGGTTACACAGATGGCAATCAATCTGCCAAAAAAAAAAAAAAGGTTGCTACACTTTTACTATAATAAAACCATGTTTATGTTTCGTAAGGGAAGCATTGTGAATGATGTAATTGAAAAACAATGGTGAAATAATACTATTCCTCTAAAGAATTAAAGAAACAATACATTTTAAGTTTACTGCAAAATATTCATAGGTATATAAATATTGAAGCATTTTGACCAATTTGATTACGTAATTCGTGTTCCCTGCTAGCTTTTTGATGCAATTTGCTCACCGCGACTCCTTGATTGGTGGGATTTTCTCTACAGCATTGTGGGTAGTGTAGTTTTTCACCAACACAATTATTTTAAAAATAAGTTCAAATAAAATGAGAAGATGGATTCACCACAAGCATATACCATCGATTAACGACCTCTGAGCTCACAGTAGATCTGTCTTTACAGGTTTAAGAGTTAACATTAAAAATTAATTTCCATATGGAAAAAAATAAATGGAATTTTTATTTCCAGAACCCGACTATCGCACTATGTTCCTGATTAATGACTGTTGCCCACGGCAACAAAGCATAAAAGACCACTCATCCAGGAAACTGATGTTTCCAATAAAGCTGTGCTCGTCAGATCTGTCTTTACAGGTTTAAGAGTTAACATTAAAAATTAATTTCCATATGGAAAAAATAAATGGAATTTTTATTTCCAGAACCCGACTATCGCACTATGTTCCTGATTAATGACTGTTGCCCACGGCAACAAAGCATAAAAGACCACTCATCCAGGAAACTGATGTTTCCAATAAAGCTGTGCTCGTATTCTAAGTAGTAATCTAATATAATAATTTCCTCTCAAATCAATAATCCATGTCTATTTTTTCTATATTTATCCGCCTCACGTCAGGGTCCTGATCACACTGTCTGGGTTTATTCTGCCATTATGATGTGCTGATTGTATATTATCCCTCTTACTTATGAACCATCTGGGCTCTCCATCACCATTTGTTGTTTAAACACAAAACTGCAGTTTCTTATTGAGAAACATTTTTAGTTTGACACCGCTCTTCTGCACAGATGAATCTGATTCAGGTTTACGGCCTGAGATCACCATAAGTTTTACAAGACCTCAGACCAAGCAGGCCTTATTTTCTGTTTACTGAAATAACAAAATATCTAGCAGCTGTATCTTAAATGTTACTTGTGGAATATTATGTAGGCAACAATATATTTCACAGTTATGTTAAAGGGAATTTATAAGTTGATAGACACTTTTTACTAGACTATATTAAAATACAAATATATTAAAATATGATTATATTAAAATTACACATACTGTTAAATTACCAAAAATAAGTATATCATTTAATATAAATATACAGTTATAGTAAAGGAAATTCATATGGGGATTCAAATATTTTACTATTAAAATATTATTATATTAAATAAAAAATATTAAAATATGACTATATTAAAATTATAAATATTGTTAAATTACACAATTTACATAATTGAATGTAATATAAATAAACAGTAATAGTAAAGGAAATAATAAAGTGATTCACACTAAAATATGATTATATTAAAATAAAAATGCATTAAAATGATAATATTAAAATTACATATTGTTAAACTACAAAAATGTAATTTAATATAAATATATTATAATATTATTAAATAGAATTTAAATATATTTTTTTTATTTTACAGGTGCATCTCAATAAATTAGAATGTCGTGGAAAAGTTCATTTATTTCAGTAATTCAACTGAAATTGTGAAACTGCTAACCAAATAGGTCTTACTGAAGAATTATATATTTTCCTGTTAAAATGACCAATAAGAAAGGGGTGGGGTTTAAGCAGAATTAAATGACTGGAGAAGTCTGTAATTTTACCATCCAGTTATGACAATTTATTTATTTATATTATTATTTTTAAATAAACTAATGCATTAAAGAATCATTCACCATAAGATCAATAACATGCATTAAGAAAATTGGTAGTGTGACTTTTGAGTTCATGCCGACTTTAAAGGGGTCATATGATGCTGCTAAAAAGAACATTATTTTGTGTATTTGGTGTAATGAAATGTGTTTATGCGGTTTAAGGTTCAAAAAACACATTATTTTCCACATACTGTACATTATTGTTTCTCCTCTATGCCCCGCCTTTCTAAACACGTAGATTTTTTACAAAGCTCATCGGTCTGATCTTTGCAACTTTACAGATCTTCTTTATGCACCAAGAGCTTGTAACACTCCAAAGAGAAAGGAAAAATTTAAATCGCAACATATGACCCCTTTAAACATTTAAAACTTCTATTCAAGATGCATGCTCTTAGACAACAAGTATTAATATTGCATGAAATTTGCTTCTGGGGAGCATTTTTTCTTCTTCTTAGCATGTGTAGATATTTATTAGATACTGGTTAAGAATTACATAAATTGCATATGCTGTTGGCATTACAAGAATGAGTACAGACACTGCTCATCGTGAATGGAAGAGTCATAATTAGACTGACATCAGGTTTTAATATCAAAACACATTGATCCAGAGCTTGGAGCTAGGTCACAGCTCTAAGAAAGCCAAACAGATTGCAAAGCTTTTGCCATCATTACTATTGCCATCATCATAATAACCCATTAAAGTTCATAATGTGAAGATTATGGAGCTGCGGGAAAGAAATCATAATGGCATTCTTGTGCTTGCAATGATTAATTCAATATAGCTTTGAATCAGTGCGCAAATTATGTTTGGCTGATATTTTATTCGACTTCCACATAAACAAGCAACGTCTGGTGGAGAAATTGTACAGATATTTCTTTTGATGCATTTTATGCATGCAACACATGCATTTTACTTCTTGCTGGATTTGAGAGAAGTATTAACAGCACAAAGAATCAAATATGGTGTTTAGACAATCTTGCTCAGTTCAAACAGCAGATCTGAATCTGACTTTGAAGGCGTCTGGTGTCAAATATAACAATAATCCAATCAGATATATGAGCAGCATCAGAGCTTTGATCCAATGCATTATCCCTGATTTAATCCTAGTGGCTCTGGCATGAAATCTGACCCTTCCGGTGTGTTCAAAGGGAACATCACCTTCTTCCAGCAATTTCACAAGCAGACAGCATCTCAAAGGCAGGTCTAAATCAAAAAGCCAAGTGCTGAAAATAACTTTTCCCGACATGTAAAGCGGTGAAGAGCGATCTAACAGATTACAACTGTGAATGTGAAGCTTGATTGCATTCAATAAACATGATTATTAGAGCCATTATGAGATTAATCAATAACTGCAAATAAGTTGCTCATGCATGGCTGGTTTAGATAAATCAGACATGCCAGCTGTACTGCAAATCCAAACGGCACAATAAAAGCCATCGATGACCTGTCAATTGCTATTCAAAAGGTGCACATCATATGAAACGGACAATGCAATAATTCACTCTCATACTAACATCATCTGACGCACGTACAATCCGCTCATTTTACACCATGTTCAGCATGTAGTTCCCAGCATGCAAGATGCATATGTGACACAGACGAATGCATGTCAAGTCTCTATGATGTGTGTTTATTTGTGGCTGAGCAACAGGCGACATGCGTTTGTCTCTTACCTGCGACAGAAACACTCATCGATCGCCGCATCCGTGACTCTCACATCCTCGAGGAATCATTCAAACATATGATGTGACGCTCTCGCTCGTTATTTCATGTGAGCTCTCACATATTTGGAAATTGCTGCCTGACGTTCGTGGCAAAAGCCACGGGAGTAACTGGGAGGGGTTCGATCGCCCCGTGATAGTGGCGTCTGAATCGCGAACGAATGGATATTTCGAACCGATTCCTTGTAGTGATTCAGTCGAGCCGATTCGCAGCGTTCATACCATCACAGACTTTGGGAGTAACTGTGGCGGACATACAATTTTTTCAATATTAAGAATAATACATATCAATAATAGTTGGAACAATGCTTCTGAAACCGTAAAATAATCCACATGATCACCATGTTTTGGATCATGGTGGCTAGTGAAACACCTGTTTGCACAAGTTCAAGATGGATCTTTCATGTGGGACATTATTGTTTTAGACACTAAAATTAGCATAATAATAACAAAACGGCATTTGACAAAATCTATGTAGCAACCGAAAACTCCCCGCTAAAAATAAAAAATGATTACAACAATAATAAAACGTAACATGGACTTCTAGGAACACTTTTGGTGATCAAAACAATCTGAGAATGGCGGCTCACTGAAACGAGTCATCTGAACGAACCGATTCGCTCAAATGAATCGTCCTTCCCAAGATAGAGGATTCTCTCGGTAACGCGCGCGCAGTGTGTCTGCGTGCGTGTGTTTCCAGCCCTGTTTCTGTCAATTTCGGCTTGAAATTGACCCTTGAAAAGGGTCTCACGTCAATATGAGAGAGGAAATCCATCTGAAACACGTTTTGAGACGTCTTTATGTGCTCAGGTACTCTGACGACTCTTATAAAAGTAGCCTATTGTCGTGGTACCATGGTAAAGTGATATAATGTTAGAGCTTTGAATGTCGAGAAGAGCAATGCTTAAACGTAATGAATTATTATTATTAATGTCATTATTTCTAATGTTATTTAATTTAATCTGATTAAATTTTACCCTGGTACTTTTAGCCTACGAATACCTTGGTATTCACATGGTACTGCAAGGTAGGGTATAGAATATGACTATAGTTTATAAAGTCAATTTCTGTGTAGACAAAACCCTTAAAATGTTGACCAAAAAAAAAAACATTTTAGCCATTATTGGACAAAGACAAAAGATTTACTTCATTGAATACACCTTGATCACTATTGGGGCATGTTGTCACACCATGTGGGGTAAGTTGTCCTGACATTAATGTCAATGTCAATGTAAATTTTATTTCTATAGCACAACTAAACACAACAACAGTTGACCAGTGTGCTTTACACAAATACAAGAGACAGTAAAAATATCAATATATAATTAAGAAAATCATAAAAGCAAAAACACACATTTCATTACTGACCATATGCCAGTTCAAAAAGGCAAGTTTTTAACATAGATTTAAAAACAGATATGGTTGGAGCAAATCTAATATTGGAGGGTAGTGCATTCCACAATCTGGGAGCAGCTTCTGAAAAGGCATGGTCACCCCTAATTTTCAGCTTTGATTTCGGATAAGACGTAGCAATCTCTGATTAGACGACCGGAGAGACACAACTGGACGATGTTCTGTCAGTAAATCCGAAAGGTAAGGAGGGGCCAGACCATTTAAAGATTTAAATACTAAAAGAAGAATTTTAAAATCAACACGGTATCGTACAGGCATCCAGTGCAAAGTGTGTATAGCACTGGAGTAATGTCCCGTTTTTTAGTACATGTCAGAAGTCTTGCCGCCGCATTTTGTACCATCTGTAACCGGGATAAAGCTGATTGGCTAATCCCGCAATACAGTGAATTACAATAGTCTAGCCTCGATGTTAAAAATGCATGAATAATTTTTTCAAAGTTATTAAAAGATATGATAGGTTTTACTTTAGCTAAAAGACGAAGCTGGAAAAAGCAGGATTTGACCACTGAGTTTATTTGCTTGTCAAATTTTAAACCATCATCGAACACAAAACCCAAGTTCTTTACCCAAGGCTTTGCCGGAAGTGTTGAATTACCTAGGGTTATTTGACTAGGAGAATCAGATGAGCCAAAAACTATGATTTCAGTTTTATTCTCATTAAAATTTAGGAAATTTAAAGATAACCAAGCTTTCACGTCAGATAGGCAGGCCCTAAATGTTTCCAGCATCAGTATTAGGTTTTAAGGGTAAATATACTTGAGTGTCGTGCGCATAGCAGTGGAATGACAACCCATATTTCCTGAAGATAGACCCTAATGGGAGCATATATAGCGTGAAAAGAATGGGAGCTAAAATGGATCCCTGTGGAACACCACAGGAAAGAACAGCAGCCTCCGATGATTATTCCCCAATATTTACACTGAACTTCCTATTTGAAAGATAAGATCTAAACCATTCAAGGGCAGCTCCTTTGATACCAACACAATGCTCCAAGCGAGCAAGAAGGATAGCATGATATTAAATAGCCTATTATAGGCATTTCAGCAGAACTTTACATTAAAATAAGCTGATACCTTGTTACCACCATAGTACTTTTTGTAAAAGGTGTTTTTCAGTGCTTGAAAAGTGCCTTTCTAATGGAATATTTTTCTATTTTTCAACATGCATTCTGCACATGACAGCAGTTTTCTATAACTATAGCGTAGGGTTTAAAATCTGAACAACTAAATGGCTGAAGCTTCAAACTCCAGCAAAGACTGGCACATGAGCGTCACAAATGTGCCCTTGAAGAGGTTTTTAACCTCAGGATACTCCAGGTTTACCCTGTACTTTGCATCTGCATCAGCTAAATGACATATTAGTAATATGAAACCACTCATGATCAATGATAATCGCTTCAGCTCCACGGTTCAGTAACTGTTTTGATAGTTTGACTGTAAATACCAGCACAACGAGCTGTCTCAGTGCTCATTCAATGTCAGCGCGCCGTACAAACCCAACAATTAGCTGCGCTATCCTTGACAAACACTGTCTGTCTGTGATGAAGGCAGCCCATCCTTTAGAGAAACTTGCATTGCACCAAATATCAATCACTGTAGCCAATTAGTCAACATAAAGGTGATCAAACGCCGTCATGACAGAAAAACATCCATCAGCACCAAATGAGCTGAAGTTACTGGTGCTAGACGGCCGTTTAAACCAGCTGAACTTGCAAACCGAGGTCTTAAAAACACAATAAATCAAAAACTTCAGCACAACAGATTTTTTTTTTATATCGTTGCAAAAATAATTGAGTGTTTCATGCACCTTACACTTCTTTGTCAAAGCAAAAAGAGTGTTTTGCAGCTCGGTAAATGGGTTTGTTTGTGACATGCTCAAACCGCAGCTGCGTTTTTATGGCTTGATATGATTTTCAAGAACCAAATTGCCAGGTTGCCCGTGTAGCATGTAATTTAGAGTTTTCCCTTCGTCCCGTGCGGCATTGATACATTGAATTTGATTGGCAAACAAACAAACAAACCAAAGCAAGACAAAAGAACAGCAAACAAATCCAAACTGCTCCTTCATTAATTTGCAAAGAGACTGATTTGGAACAAGACATTTACATTCCTGCTTTTGAAAGGTCATGCTTTGTGACGCTCATTTGCATACTAAGTGGCTAATTATGTTGCAGCCAATAGGCAGGTATGTGATGGTGTGTGAAGGGGCGGCCGGTCATCAGTCTTTAACTGCATCCGAATACAATCGAGGCCACACACATCAGACAGTCCATGTCAGTAAATTAGCCTAATTAGACCTAATAACAACACACATCATGCATCTCATATATATAGAGCTGTCGCACTCATGCATACACATACATGCACATGCAATTTCTCTCTTTGGCTGTTCGGAATGACACTGCCACATTACCCAGACTGCAGTATGCATGTCATGAATAGTATGCACATTTTTTGTTATAACTGTATCTACTGTCCCAGCTAACAAACATGTGTTCTAAAAAATGTTTTGCTAAACATTGCTTCTGAACATTATCTGAATGCACAAAAGTCCAGTTGTTTTTAATGTTTAAAAAACACAATCCCATTTAAATGTTTTAAAAAACTAAACATTATGGGATTGTTACCTTTGAATGTTGTCTGAAAATTCTAAAACAAGTAGTAACATTTAAAAAACTAAAATGTTTCAGAAAAAAAACGTTTGATAAATGGTGTATAAATAATTTTTTTGTCAAGTCAAGTCAAGTCACCTTTATTTATATAGCGCTTTTAAATTTGAGAGAACCTTGCACTGCAACACACTGCAAAAATATCTACATTTTAAAACAGTACACTGAAAAAAAAGATTTTGTGGTGTTGTAAAATATATTAAATTAATCATCATAAATTCTACTTGTAATATTAAAAATCAAGAAGAACAACAATTTTCTAAGTAAAATGTACACATTTAATTCATGTAATTAATGAACTGCGTGAGAAGAGTAAAAATTTTTTTAAGTAAATCTTAATAGTTATTTTTTTCAGTGTATGCCATGCCAAACTTGTTTCACTATTGTGCAGATAGCTGTTTCACAAAGAAAAGCAAGTGACAAATGATTTTTAAAATACAATTTAAAATGTGCATTTAAAAATGATTTATTAATTTACCATTTTATAGTTTTATTTAACTATGTATTTAAAGCATTAATTAAACAGAAAAAATGTCTGTTTATATTCCAATTTAAAAATAATTAAATATTTTATTGTTTTATTTATTATTTAATAAAATAAACCGTTTTTAATATGACTATTAATTTTTCCATTTAAACAGTTATTTATTCATTTCCATTTTTATCTTTGAATTATTAAATTAATAACTTATTCCTTCATTTTATTTTTAAATTGTCATGCAGAAACTACTAGTCAATTTCACAAAGGATTACAAAGAAACACTAAGTAGCACATTGAATTAAATTTAAAATGTTGTAAAATATATTCCAATAATCCATGTATTATTTACTACTTCGAAAAACACTTTTTTACAGTGTATTGTCCAAGTTCAGTGCATTGGATTGAGGGATACAGTATCTCACAAGCTTGTGCTCTATTTTTTGCTGCACATGTCAATGGCACTCGCTGTGGCACTCACTAGTGAGGGTCATGTGACAGTGATGTAGCACACCACTTTTTGAAACATTTATTGT